CCCTGATTTCATGTGTTTTATTCTTTTATTTGATTTAGACATACTTTGGTAGTTGAATCATTTTCATCATTCACAAACATTATTTATATAAAATTCTATATGAATTACATGTGCTGGTGTTGGAGATACAAAGATGGTTCAGAATAACAGCTTAGAAAATACAAAATGATTCTAAATGGCTTATTTTTCGAGAGGTTTATACGAATTTGCTGATGGTTTTGCGTGTTGGAATTGCTGATTCTTTTGTTTATTAGATAAGACATATGAAAGAAAAAAATAATGCATTAAAGAACGAATTGACGTTAAAAAGATATCTCAGTTTGAATTGTAAGAAGATCGACGAATTGTGAATAAATCCACAGAATAAAATACTCACTCGAGGATTTCATTTCTATTGATGATTGCCTTTCCTATGAAACAGATCAGTGATTTGTATACTCTTAGGAAATATCGTTGGCGCAAATATTTCAATCTACACTAGATATGCTTTTATTCCTGCTGAACCTTGCAGCTCATCTATATGGCCAGACGAAATGATCAAAGACTTATATAAGATCTAATAAAGCAATGAAAAAAACTAAATCTTACAGTGACAATCAGAAGGAGTCGAAATTTTTGGCTATCAATGTAGTTTCGCCTTTTGTTTCAAACAGCTTTGATCAATTCCAAAACAATTACAATTGAATAATTGTTGACAATAATAAACTCGCATATTTTATGATATATTATTTGTTGAAAAAGAATGAGACAGTAAACTAATACATTAAGAAATGCTCATACTCAAGCACTACTTATATTACAAAAAAATTCGAGCTAGAACCACAAACTTACAATGTTGAGTACATTGCATGAATAAGAAAAGTTACGTAAATATGTGTTTTGTTTCAGCCAGTGACATGTGATAAAGTTATCGAAGGTAGCAGGAGTTACATTGATAGGATGATCAATCATTATATTCGATATTGTTATCGGCTTCTCGTTTAGAAGTTGACATATATTTAAGTCAATATCATTAGGAAAACTAACATATTCTAAATGACTAAACGAGTGATAAAATCTATTGATTTCCTTGTTTATTGATTTTTTTTCTATAATGTTATCAATCGGAAGGTTATAGAGTATTTCTAATCGATACTGTTCGACAAATAAATGAACGTAATGCTCAAATGAAACAAATCCATGAACAAATTTTAACAATTAATTTAAAATGTTCATATGAAGAAGATTTTCTATTACAACCATTTGAATTAACAACATTATTTTGTGAATATTTAGAAATTATTTTATAATTTGGTTGTATAACTTTTTTTTGTTTATCATTTCCATTAGCACCGTTATTTGCTTTAATTAATAATATATTTGAAATACGTATTGATGCACTTAAAGTAGTTAAAGAATTTCGTCGACCTGTATCACGTCGTGCTATGGGTATTGGTATATGGAATTCAATATTAAATATAATGGCTAAAGTAACTGTTTTATTTAATGCATTTATTATAGCAATTACATCAGAATATATTCCTCGACAAGTTTATTATTGGACGATTGGAAATTATTCATTAAATGGATTTCTTAATCATACATTGGGACCATTTCATTCAAATGATTTTCCAAGAGTTATTAATCGTACATTATTAGAATGTCAATTTATTGAATCACGTTTAATGGATTTATTAAAACAATCAACATTTTTTCTTCCATTTGCTCAATCCTATTCAGTATTATATTTTGATTGTAATTCAACATTAGCAAATGAAATACGTTCACAAATTGATTTTTCTACTTATTATTATAAAGATTATCGACTAGTAAATATTAATAAAATACTTCATATTTATTTCAATATGATTTCACATAGGATCATACACATAATTATGGACGTTCATATATGTTTTATTATGTAATGGTAGCATGATTAGCATTTGTTATTATTTTTGAAGTAAAATTTTTATTTAAACTTAGAACATCTCTCGATAATTGCTTTTCTTTAGGATTTGTTATAGCGGAGAGAGAGCAATTTTCCTAAGAGGGCCCAAGACTTATGGATCACCCTTTACCTACATTAACTAAAATTGATTAAAATCTCAATCGAACAAATTTAATTAAATATTTAACGGGTGCGCCAGGTGAAATGGACCTCTCAATGTTTTATCTGTAACTCTTTTTTCTCTTCAATTGAAATGCATGATTTTTTTAATGAAAAGATGCGCCGTGAAATTCTCTACAAAGTGGCCTATTTCACTCTGACTAAATAACTTTCATTATATTTTAAAATAAAATGAATTCGCTTGATAAAATGATGAGTACTTTCAAAAAATGACGATTTTTAGCTTTTTTCTAATATCGTCTCATTTGTCGTTTCTAAGTGTTTTTTGTTGTTATTTTGTTTTATTCG